CCTGCGCCTCTTCCGCCGAGCCTTGAAAACCCATCTATTCCATGCGGACAGCCTGGCGTAGTTTTGATTGTGTTTTGGTAGGGGCTTTTATATGGGGTATTTTAGAGCAGGCTTTTTATTTAATATTTATTGTGATTTTTATTATCGCCTGTTCACCGCCCTGAGTCCCATAAGGGAGATAGGGCAGTATATAAATTTAAATAATAAATAAATAAATAATAAACCCCCTGCTCAAAGAGGAGACCCTGTACCATTTCAGGCAGGTGGCTCTCCAATCTCTTCTTTAAAACCTTCAGTAATGAAGCACCCACAACCTCTGGTGGCAAGCTTTTCCATGGGTTAATTGTCCTCCCTTTTTGGAAGTTTCTCCTTAATTCCAGGTTGCTTCTCTCCTTGAGGAGTTTCCATCCATTGCTTCCTGTCCTGCTTTCAGGGACTTTGGAGAATAAGTGGGTCCCCTTTTCCTTCTAGGAGCCCCTCAGATACTGGAACGCTGCTACCATGTCTCCCCTCTTCCTTCTTTTCTTTGGACGAGCCAAATCCTAATCCTGCGATGCTTCTTCATCTCTTTTAGTCTCCAGGCCTTCAATCATCTTAGTTGCTCTTCTTGGCACTTTTCCCAAAGTCTCAACGTCTTTTTTGTATTGTGGGGACCAAAACTCAAAGGGTCTCCTGCTTGAGCAGGGGGTTGGACGAGAAGATCTCCACAGTCCCTTCCAACTCTGTGATTCTATCATTCTGGTATTTTATTGTTATTTGTTTTAAAAATGCTGTGCACCGCCCTGAGTCCTTCGGGAGAAGGGCGGTATATAAATTAAATTAATAAATAAATAATAAATAAATTCTGTAAGGGTCTCCTGCTTGAGCAGGGGGCTGGACTAGAAGGCCTCCATGGTCCCTTTTAACTCTGTCATTCTATCATTGTGTAAGGGTCTCCTGCTTGAGCGGGGGTTGGACGAGAAGACCTCCACAGTCCCTTCCAACTCTGTGATTCCATCATTCTGTAAGGGTCTCCTGCTTGAGTAGGGGGTTGGACTAGAAGACCTCCAAGGTCCAACTCTTATGATTCTATAAGAATCTCCTGTTTGAGTAGGGATTGGACTAGAAGACCTCCACGGTCCCTTTTAACTCTGTCATTCTATCATTCTGTAAGGGTTTCCTGCTTGAGCAGCGGTTGGACTAGAAGATCTCCATGATCTCTTCCAACTCTGTCATTCTCATTGTGTAAGGGTCTCCTGCTTGAGCAGGGGGTTGGACGAGAAGATCTCCACGGTCCCTTCCAACTCTGTGATACTATCATTCTGTAAGGGTCTCCTGCTTGAACAGGGGGTTGGACGAGAAGATCTCCACGGTCCCTTCCAATCGCTGGAGCTTCCTTAGATGTTCCCAGTAAGAAAACAGGGAATATAAAGTGACTGACCCACCCACTTTTAGTGCTGGGAGTGACTGTTAATGATAAGAGCTTGGCTTTTGGGTACCATGTAAATATAATAAAAGGGGAGCAGAATTAAAGAATTACAGAATCATGGAGTTGGGAGGAACCCTGGAGGTCTTGTAGTCTGACCCCCCCTGCTCAAGCAGAAGACCTTTACAGAATCATGGAATGACAGCATTGGAAGGGACCTTGGAGGTCTTCTAGTCCAACCCCCTGCTCAAAGAGGAGACCCTGTACCATTTCAGGCAGGTGGCTCTCCAATCTCTTCTTAAAACCCTTCAGTAATGAAGCACCCACAACCTCTGGTGGCAAGTTGTTCCACGGGTTAATTGTCCTCCCTGTTGGGACGCTTCTCCTTAATTCCAGGTTGCTTCTCTCCTTGAGGAGTTTCCATCCATTGCTTCCTGTCCTGCTTTCAGGGGCTTTGGGAAATAAGTGGGTCCCCTTTTTTTTCTAGGAGCCCCTCAAATACTGGAATGCTGCTATCATGTCTCCCCTGTTCCTTCTTTTCTTTGGACTATCCAATCCCAAATCCTGCGACGCTTCTTCATCTCTTTTAGTCTCCAGGCCTTTGATCATCTTAGTTGCTCTTCTTGGCACTTTCCCCAAAGTCTCAACGAACTCAATGCAATATACCACATCCACAGCATTTCGCTGGCCTACTCATTTAGTCACTTTGTCAAAGAATGAAATAAGATCGGTTGGGCCTGATCTGTTTTTAGCAAACTGGTGCTCGCTTCTAGTTATAACTTTATAACTAGGGAGGGAAGAAGGGAGGGGATTTGTGGAGGAGGAGGAGGAGGAGGGAGGGAGGGAGGAGGAGGAGGGAGGGGGAGGAAGAGGAGGGGCTTGTGGCTCTCTGATCTGGGTGGTTTCCTTGCAGACATTTCATGACCCAACTAGGGAACATCATCAGTGCTAGGAGGGAATGGGGTTTGTGGCGGAGGAGGAGGAGGAAGAGGAAGAGGAGGTGGAGGAGGGGAGGAGGAGGAGGGAGGGAGGGAGAAGAGGAGGGGGAGGAGGGAGGGAGGGGGAGGAAGAGGAGGAGGGGCTTGGTGCTCTCTGAGCTGGGTGATTTTCTTGCAGACATTTCATGAGCCAAGTAGACAACTTCATCAGTGCTAGAAGAGTCTGGGGTTTGTGAAGAAGAAAGGGAAGAGCAGGAGGAGGAGGAGGAGGAGGAGGAGGATGCCCCTCCCTTCTATCACTGATGATGTCCCCTAGTTTGGGTCACGAAAGGTCTTCAAGGAACCCACCCAGCTCAGAGAGTCCCCAGGACCCCCTCATTTCAACCCTGAGCGACAGATTCTCCTTTATTGGTAGGACTTAAACCGATCGATGTTTTGTTAACATCCTGAGTGGGGTTTACACACAACTGGGGCTCCTCCTCATTTTTCTTTCCTCAGGAGTCACCATGAAGACCCCTCCCATCCAGATGGTCCCGCTGTTGTGTCTGATCGGATTCTTCACCGGACCTTTGCAGGTACAAACGGAGCAGCTACAACAGCAGGAGTGTCCACCTCCTTGAATGGGGAGGGGTTGCCAGACAGGCAGGCGGCATGCCCTCCCCTCCCTACTCGACTGTCACTTCCCGCTGCTAAGTTTTTCAGACTTGCCAAACACTTAAGCCACTTACGTTGAAACGATCCTCGGCTCCATTTGTTGACGGAGGTGTGCTTTTAATAGAAGTCAAGGGCACTGCAGTGGGGTAAAGCCAGAACGGAGAATCGCGTGCCCCAATCCCCACCTTCAACTTTTTCTTCCCCAATTGCTTCCCCTCGCTGACACCTCCCCGCCCCAATGACCGACGAATTTTCAGCGAGCTGTTTTCCGAACGGTCACTTCTCAAGCCCAGCTTGGTAGGCAGCTCCATTCTTCTCCCTGCTGGGATGACCTTGAAACGGCATCTCGGGGAGATACAGTTGCTAGATTTGGTTTCCCCCAAGCTTGGCCCCCGGCATCCACCCTCCCCCAGAGTTCACAGCACACATTTTCACCACACAGAAACGAAGCACACAAGCAAGCGTATGGTGGCAGGTGGCAAAGATCTTGGTTGTGTCTTAAAAAAAAGGGGGAGAAGGTGGGCCTTTGTGAGGCCATCTAAACTAGGCCACAATGTCCCCCGTTTTGGGGTTTTCTCCCTTCCTTCTCCTCCCCACCTCTAGGAGAGAAGATAAGTTAATCCAGGCAAACCTTTTGGGGATCGTCCCAAAGGTGTTTTTTTTTTTCAAAGGACAACTGGGCTTTATTTTTCCTTGAAGACATCTCGCTTCTCATCCAAGAAGCTTCTTCAGTTCTTTTTCTTTTTTTCTTTAGAAATGTTTTATTGACTTTTTTTTTTACAATAACAATCCTTAGTGCCCAGTGTACAGCATGTTGTCTTCGTTCCGTAAATTTTGAACCCACCCCCATAAAACAATTGATGGTAGCTAATTAACAGTCGATAATAATTAATTTTTGTACTTCCCTAATTAGTATATTAATGAATAGTATATTTTTTTGCTCTCTGCTTCTCCCAATAGTATTCTCCTTCTTCAACCTTAGACAAATATAATTGTTAATATTTTCAATGTAAAAATGGTTAAATATAAACATTTTCTTTCACATTTGTGCAAATAATGACAACGTCCATATATGACGTTTTTTCCTTATCAACTTGTGTTGTTTTCATAAAAATCATCAGATTAGTTCACCATATAACCTATTTTCATCATTCTTATTTAAGCTTAATTACTCCTTAATATTCAAACAATTCTTATCAGTCATAATTAACCAATTAACCAGTGGAACAACCTGCCTCCAGAAGCGGTGAACGCTCCAACACTGGACGTTTTGAAGAAGAGACTGGACAGCCATTTGTCCGAAATGGTTAAGGGTTTCCTGCCTGAGCAGGGGGTTGGACTAGATGATCTCCAAGGTCCCTTCCAACTTTTTTTTATTATTCACCGCTTTCATTAGATAGCGCCAAGTGTTCCAGTCTGTCCAGGTCCTCCTGTATCCTAAGCCTGTCTTCTGGAGTGTTGGCTATTCCTGCCAGCTTGGCGTCATCTGCCAATTTGAAGAGTTCCCCATCTATCCCCTCGTCCAGATCGTTGATGAAGATGTTGAAGAGCACAGGGCCCAGGACAGAGCCCTGGGGCACCCCACTACACACTTCCTGACACTCCCCCTCTGTTGAGAGGGGGTTGCCCAGCCTTAATGTAGATGGACTCTTGGACCCCTCTTTCAAACCAGGATGTGGACTTTTCTGTCTTTGAAAGAGCGGCCATTGTCTTTCAAAGGCAGGTGGGCTGCTGATGGATTTGTTCTCCTATATCGTGCCATGTGTTAGTGAAGTGGTTGTTTTGTTTTCCCGCTGTAGAGATCTGTACATGTCTCATTACACTGTACTGCGTACATCACACTGCTTCTCTTTTGTAAGTTCAGGACCCAATATTTCTCCCTAAAAGGGGCATTTGATGGACAGGGCCATTTTGATGGACAGGGCTCTTTTCTCTCCTTCATGTCCTTCCCCGCCTTCTCTTGTTTCGGACAGGTGTCATGTGTCAAAGAGATACCCCTCGACATGTCCATGAATTCTCTGGATGACCCGTATTATAACTGCCACTCCAAGATAGAGGAAAAGCTGAAGGTTCCAGGATACATTCCCCTGCCGAAAAAGTATTTTGCGACCTGGAACAAAGCCAAAGACCTCTTGGCCAAACTCGGCCCAAAGCTCGGCAAGCTCAATCCCCTGTATGGCACGGCGATCATGGCCTACACCATCGGAGACAGCCTGTACAGTGACTTCAACGCCGCCGTACGCGAGGGCGGGAAATCCAAGTACGCTTACCAGCACTTTGCCTTCAAGGACTTCTATTTCGTCTTCAACCGGGCTCTTCAGGCCAAGAAGAAAAAGCCTGCCTGCTACGAGGTCTTCCGCGGGATCAAAGGTGTCTGCTTCACCCTCCCCAGCAAGGAGGTCCGCTTCGGACAGTTTGCCTCCTCGTCGAAGATCAAAAAAATAGCCCAAGGTTTCGGCGAGGACACCTTCTTCTCCATCAAGACCTGCTACGGCGTGTCCATTTCCCCGATCTCCTTGCGCCCGTACCAACAGGAAGTCATCATCCCGCCCTACGAGAAGTTCACCGTGATCAGTCACAATAAGACCCTCAAGGGGGTCTTCATCAGGCTGGTGTCCCAGGGATTTTTCAGCCGCTTCAACTGTGACAATCTGAAAGGTAAGAGGCTGGACGAAGGGAGAAGCCGACGTTCAGGGATCCCGGGGAGTTTCTTGGCCCTCTCTGGGCCTTCTGGAGAACCAAAACAGTTCCACCTGGACCCAATGTCTTCGGAGACGCTCCATCCTCCAGGTCACGGTTGTCCCCAAAGGTATTGCTTTGTTTTCCCCCCAAAAGGCAACTGGACCTTCTTGGTGTTTTCTTTGAGAACGTTTCTGTTCTTGTCCAAGATTTCAGTTTCAGAGGAAACACCGAGAAAGTCTAGTTGCCTTTTGGGGAAAAACAAAACAATTGTGTGTGTGTGTGTGTGTGGTTGAGAGACAGAGAGAGAGGAGGGGCAAAGGGAGGGAGGGAGAGGGAGGCAGAGAGAATGAGGGAGATGGAGGGAGATGGGAAGGGAGGGAGAGAGAGAAAGAGAGGCAGAGATGGAGGAAGACAGAGAAACCGAGAGAGAGAAGAGGAGAAGGAGAGAGACCAAGAGAGGGAAGGAGGGAGGGACAGAGGGGAAAGAGGGAGGGAGGAAGAGAGGGAATTAGTAAGAGAGAGGGGGGACAGAGAGAGGGAGGGAGGGAGATGGAGAGACTCCCTCCCTCCTGCTCTCTCTCCCTCCCTCTCTGTCTCCCTCTCATACTTCCCCCACTCTCTGTCTCTTCCTCCCACTCTCCTTTGGTCTCTCTGTCTTCCTCCATCTCTGCCTCTCTCTTCCTCCCTCCCTCCCTCCCTCCCTCCCTCTCTCTCCCTCATTCCCTCTCTGTGTCCCTCTCTCTCTGCCTTTCTCTGCCTCCCCCTCTCTCCCCCTTCTTCCTTCCTTCCCTCCCTCTGCCTCCCTCCTTCTCTCTCTCACACATACACTCATACATACATGGGTGTGCGCATGCGCACGCGTGCACACACACACAAACACACACACATCTCCACACACAATTTTCTATTCTGAAGAAAACAGATGGTTGCTGGAGCTGCCACATTTTCATTTCTGGGGAATGAACTGACTTTCACTTCCATCTGCCTTGCTATATGCTGATGAAAGCATTCAGGTCATGGAGGAGGCATCTCAGCAAAGGACAGAAGAACAATTAATCACTGGATCAGCATGCCTCCAGAGGTTGTGGGTGCTCCAACACTGGAGATCTTCAAAGAAAAAAATAATAATAATGGACAACCATTTGTCTGAAATAGAAAACAAATGGAAGAGATGATTTCACTCACTGCCTCATTAACCTTTCCACCTTTTGCCCCCTTTTTCTCTTTACACCTGCAGGTCACTAAACTCCAATGGGGAGGCCGTTCCTTCTGCATGGTCTCCTTCTGACCTGGAGCACCCTTGGGTCTCTAGGAAGCCTCAGAAAACCTGGCCATCAAGGGAGAAGGCATCTCTAGGAAGAAGACCAAGCATGACGTGCAAAATACCTTTGCAAAGTAGCTTTTTTGCCCTCCTGACATGCACAAGAATTTCAGGCAACTCAAAAAAAAGCCGTTTATTCGGGGAGGGTGCAGTCTTTCTCTAGGGTGCAAGGATCAGGGATTGGGTATATGTGATATGGGATGATTGTATCAGAAATCAACAAATCAAGCAATAAAAGTCTTTGGTGTGCAATGAAAGCTTTGTTTTGTTACATGGGAGAAAAGACACACACACACACACACTCACTGTAAATTGCATTTCCTACCCAGGTTTGCGTCTTTCTGGACACTTTGCAGTTTTAATCGGGGAGTTCAGAAGGCAGCCCTATTGTTTGGTTGATGAAAAGGCTAGTTTGGGCCCATTGAAAGAAATGACTCTGACTCAAAAGGGGGAAATAGTGTAAACAGTACCCACTCCCCAGAATAAAATATTTCCCGGGCCAACTATATAAAGGACCGGAACTGATTACGCAGCCTAGGGCCAAATTAGAAAAATAAAAACACCTATAATTACATTTCTCTTAGCCCCAAAAAGCAGCCACAACATCATACACAACAGCAGGAAAACCTATAACAGCAATTAGAGTATTGTGTACAGCCCAAAGAACACTGAAAGAACACATATTCACATAGCGATAATGGAAAACACAGAAACATATAAAAACTCACTAACAAACCCAATTTGGTAGCTTTCCCCAAGAACACCCTTGTTGCTGTTATTGGGAAATTAAACAGAACCTCCTTTTCATAAGCAGCTTTCCTTGGGTCTTGATTTTCACTTACTGCTGTTCTCCCGGTTTTGGAGAAAGAACAGACCTGAGCGGATTAGCTTGACAATTTGGCGACCACAAAGGGACTCCAAAGCTAATCTGATCAATCTGGCCCGGGAAAGCCTTCACTATGCTGGCGACAGATCCCTTTTCTCTGCGGGTGGGTTTTCCCCACCTTGCCCATTTGGAGAAAAGGGAGTAAAGGGAGTTTTGAGTCTTGCGCTCAACAGCCACTGGGAAAGGAGGTATTTACCTCCAAATTCTGATATTCTACACCCAGGGAAGTGAGAGGTGTGTATGTGTGTGTGTGTGTGTGCGTGTGTGTGTGTATCTCTCTCTCTCTCTCTCTCTCTCTCTGAGAGAGAGAGAGAGAGAGAGAGAGAGAAGGCAGAATAGAATAGAATAGAATAGAATAGAATAGAATAGAATAGAATAGAATAGAATAGAATAGAATAGAATAGAATAGAATAGAATAGAATAGAATTACCGAATAATAGAAAGAGTAACAGAATTACAGAATTACAGAGTAACAGAATAACACAAGTGGGAAGGGAGCTTGGAGGTCTTCTGGTCCAACCCCTTTTTCAGACAGGAGTCCCTGTACTGTTCAGAAAAAATGGCTGTCTGAAGGGTGACATGATAGCAATCTTGCAGTACTTTGGGGGCTATCCTAGGGAGGACAACTTATTCTCCAAAGCTCCTGAAGGCAAGAGAACAAGTAACATGTAGAGGCTGGTCAAAGAGAGAAGCAACCCGGAACTAAGGAGAAACTTCCTGACAGTGAGAACAATTAGCCAGTGGAACAGCTTGCCACGAGAAATTGTAGGCGCTCCACCACTGGAGTTCTTGAAGAAAAGATCAGACAGTCATTTTTCCAGAATGGTATACGGTCTCCTGCTTGAGCAAGGGGTGGGACTAGAAGACCTCCAAGGTCCCTTCCAATTCTATAATTTTGTAAGGGTCTCCTGTTTGAGCAGGGGGTGGGACGAGAAGAGCTCCAAGGTCCCTTCCAACTTGGTTATTCTGTAGTTCTTTAATTCTGCTCCCCTCCACGGGGCTCCTTCTGAGGAAAGCGAGCCATGGAGGAAAGGTATGCTTGCTTCCCCAACTCTGTGATTCTGTTACTGTCATATCTGCCCTGACTTGGGTTCTTAGGAAAGAAAGACCCTCAACTCCATCTGAGGGAAAGGAATATTTTTACTAAAAGCCAAGTGGTTACAGTACAGCTGTACTGAATCTCCCTACCGTCCAATTTCATTCAAAGGAATTGCTGCCTTGACGGGCTAGATTGGTAGCCCATGTATTCCCCTCACAGGTCTCAGCAGTTCGGATGATGAACCGACGTCTTGGCAAGACACGAGGAGTACTTTTGCTTTTCCCCTTCCTGGCAGCTCCTTCCACCACCACACCCAGCCCCCCATAGTCTGTGGCAGGCAGGCAGGCAGGTAGGCAGGCATCTAGCAAAGCAAGACTGAAGCTCGGGATGGCAATTTCGACAGCTACTCTGATGAAGAGTCCAAGGCTGTATCGGACCAAGGACCCGACTTTTCCCCGCTTTTGTTGGAGGAAAAAAAGTCCAAGCAATAAGGACAGCCCTCCTCCTCCCTCCAGCTCTGACTGATACTTTTAGGAGGGTGTCACATCTTTCAGTTGAAGTGGACAAAGGCTTCCCCATTGCAGAAGCTCCTTCTTGTTCAAGCAAGGCCCGGGCATAGCTACGGGAGTTGATTTGTCCCATGGGAATTGCATCCTGAATCTCTTCCTTCCCAGGGATCAAGAGGCCCTCTCCAGTCACACAACCCCCCTCACACACAGCTGCTCCATTCCTCTTTGTGGGCTGAGGTTGGGTGGGAAATCAAACACGGGTGTTACATCAAATTTTAGGTTTTATTATTAGCCTCTTAGCATGGCACCTACCCCTCCATTTGAAGATCAGGAAACAATTGTTCAGAGAATCGGCTGTGGGGCCCGGGACAGGATCCAGCTGCAGTGGAACAAGAGGATTTTCCCTTTTGCTCACACACACACATGCACACACACACACTGCCCTCAGTTCTCTGGAGGTAGAATATCAAAACTTGAAGGTACTTGCCTCCTTTCCCAGCAGCCATTGAGCACAAGACTCAAAATTGCCTTTGCTACCTTTTCTCCAAATGGGAAAGGTCCGGGAAACCCACCCACAGACAAAAGGGGTCTGTCATCAGCAAAGTGAAGGCTTACCCGGGCCTGATCCTTTGGTCAGCTTAACTTTGGAGTCCCTCTGTGGTTGCCAAATTGTTGAGAGAATCGGTTCGGGTCCGTTCTTTCTCCCATGCTGGGAGAGAAGCGGTGAGGGAATATCAAGACCCAAGGCAAGCTGCTTATGAAAAGGAGGTTCCCTTTATTTCCCAATAACAGCAACAACGCTGTTCTTGGGGGGCAGCTAGCAAATTGTGTTTGTTGGTGAGAGAGTTTTTATATGTTTCTGAGTCTTTTTTTTATCAATGTATGAATATCTGTTCTTTTCATAATACTCTAATTGCTGTTATAGATTTTCCTTTTATTGTGTATGATGTTGTGTCTGCTTCTTGGGGCTAAGGGAAATGTAAGTATAGGTGTTTTTATTTTTATAATTTGGCCCTGGGCTGCGTAATCAGTTTCAGTCCTTTATGTAGTCAGCCTATCTTTTCTGAGATTTCTTTGTTAGGCAGCATTTTCTGAATGGGAATCCAGTTTTATGAATGGGCAACATTGTATCTTTTGAATGAAACTATGTTTCCCTAAATGATGTCTATGGGCTGTCTTGGTGGAGGAAGGACGGCTGAGGTTTCCTACCTATTCTTAAGAGGATTATCTTTTCTTCTCTTTTGGGAGATCATTCATGGATTAATATTTCATTCTGGGGAGTGGATTCCATTTACACTATTTTTATTCTTTTGAATCAGAGCCATTTCTTTCAGTGGGCCCAAACTAGCCTTTTCATCAACCAAACAATAGGGCTGCCTTCCAAATTCCCCAGTTAAAGCTGCAAATTGTCCAGAAAGATGTAAATCTGGGTGGAAAAGGAGCAGATGCAACCTACGGTGAGGTGGGTCTGTCTTTCCTCCCATGTAACAAAACAAAGCTTCCGTTGCACACCAAAGATTTTTATTGCTTGATTTGTTGATTTCTGATACAATCATCCCATATCACTTGTACCCAAACCTTGATCCTTGCACCCAAGAGAAAGACTGCACCCTCCCCAAATAAATGGCTTTTTTGCGTGTCGCACTTGGTCTCCTTCCTAGGGACACCTTCTGCCTAGATGGCCGGGTGGTCCGAGGCTTCCAAGGGTGCTCCAGGTCAGAAGGAGACCCCGCAGAAGGAACGGCCTCCCCGTTGGAGTTTAGCGACCTGCACCTGTGGAGACAAAAACAATATACTTATTCATATTGTTTATTTATTTTCTATTTTTATCCTTTAGTCGTCCGTGACCTGAATGCTTTCGTTCGATACCACTAAAAAAGAAGAACGAGAAAACTGAAAAATACCCAGCCTGGTTGCATAAAGAACAACCTTGACCTGGATGATTGAGAATCCCCCTAGACATTTGGTCCATCAGGAATTATCTTGGTTCTCCAACAGCCCCAGATACGGTCGAGTTGCTCCCTGGGGTCCTCTGAACCTCACGTTCTCCTCTCTCCCAGCCTCTTACCTCTCAGGCGCTCACAGTTGAACCGGCTATAAACACCTTTGGATTCCAATCTGATGGGGGACACGTTTTCTTTGCTCTTCACGACAAACTTCTCGTAGGGCGGGATGAGAACTTCCTTTTCGCCTTTGAAGGACGAGATGTCGTCAATGGGCACTCCGTGACAGGTCTTGATGGAGAAGAAGGTGTCCTGGCCAAACCCTCTGGCTACTTGTTCGCTCAAAGATGAGGAAGTAAACTGGCCGAAGCGGACCTGCTTTCCCTTGCTGACTTTGAAACGGATCCCTTGTACCCCGCGGAAGACCTCGTAACATTTGTTCTTTTTCTTCCTGGCCTGAACACCCTTGGTTAGGAGGAAGAAAAAGTCCTTGAAGGCAAATTGATTGTAAGTGTCTTGGGAACTCCCGGCTACTCTTGTAGCAGCGTTGAAATCCCTGTATAGGTTGTCAGCAAGGGTGTAAGCCACGATTGCAGTACCTTGCATTGGAGTGAGGTCGGTGATAGATCTGCCAACTTCGGCCCAGTGCCTTTTGGCCTTTTGCCAGGTTGTTTTATAATTTGTCGGTACAGGGATATATCTTGAGCTCTCAGGAGGAAGCACCTTCGGGGGTTTGCAATTAATATACTGGTCATCCACGGACTTCTCGAACATGTTGAGGGGCATATTGATGACATTCAACGCCTGTCGGAGAAAAGAGAGGGTGTGAAAAGACCGGAAGGAGAGAAAAGAGCCCAAATGTCGGGGGAAACCTGGTTGGCCCAGGTGCCTTCGTCAACCCCCCCAAAGGAGCACAGGGAGGGTGGAGTCCCTGCGGATTTTACTCTGCTGTTACCCTCCCGCCGAAGTGGTACTTATTTATCTACTTGCATTTGCATGCCTCCCAACTGCTAGGTGGGCAGGAGCTGAGGTGAGGACGGGAACTCACCCCGTCGAAGGCCTGGAGACTAGAATATACAACAATCGTCTGCAGGCCTTGGGTTTGGCTAGTCTAAAGAAAAGAAGAAGAAGGGGAGACATGACAGCAGCATTCCAGTATTTCGGAGGGCTGCCCCAAAGAAGAGGGTTGTTCACCAGAGCCCCAGAGGGCAGGACGAGAAACAACGGTTGGAAACTGACCAAAGAGAGAAGCAACCTGGAATTAAGGAGAAACTTCCTGACAGGGAGGACAATCAACCAGTGGAACAGCTGGCCACCTGAAATCTTGGGCGCTCCATCACTGGAGGTTTTTAAGAAGAGACTAGACAGTCACTTGTCTGAGTTGGTGTAGGTTCTCCTGCTTGAACAAGGGGCTGGACTAGAAGACCTCCAAGGTCCCTTTCTATTCTATTCCATTCCATTCCGTTCCGTTCCGTTCCGTTCCATTCCATTCCATTCCATTCCATTCCATTCTATTCTATTCTATTCTATTCTATTCTATTCTATTCTATTCTATTCTATTCTATTCTATTCCATTCCATTCCATTCCATTCCATTCTATATTCCATTCTATATTCCATTCTATATTCCATTCTACTCTACTCTACTCTACTCTACTCTACTCTACTCTGTTCTGTTCTGTTCTGTTCTGTTCTGTTCTGTTCTGTTCTGTTCTGTTCTGTTCTATTCTATTCCATATTCTATTCTATTCTGTTCTGTTCTGTTCTATTTTAAATTCTCTCTTCTCTTCTCTTCTCTTCTCTTCTCTTCTCTTCTCTTCTCTTCTCTTCTCTTCTCTTCTGTTCCATGTTCCATATTACATATTACATATTACATATTCCATTCCATATTTTCTATTCTATTCTATTCTATTCTATTCTATTCTATTCTATTCTATTCTATTCTATTCTACTCTGTTCTATTCTTGTGGTGCTTGGGTCTTGAACTGAATTGTTATCTACCCACAAGTGCTCCAAATCCCCCTGAGCTTTTCAGGTATTCCTGCAACGTATAGAATTACAATGTTACCAAGAACAATAACAACAACAAAAAATGAAGCAACGTT